AGCATGCGTGCGCAAGCAAGCAAGCAAGCTGCCGCATACTTTTGAAGCTCGAAAGCTAGGATCAGCAGCCGCAGAAGATTGTGACCAACCCAGCTTTGCTTGTTCAATCACGGTGGCCCTCGCCGGCGAGGACAAATTAAGCAGCTTTCATCAAAGCTGACTAAATCCCCATAAACTTGAGCTGCAATCCTTCAGCTCACACCCGAAAAGGAAAATGGCCGTGCTATCACTGTGTCATTTGGTAAGCCTCAGTTTCCAATTGTTACCAGGCTTCCCGTACACTAGTATATAGTGACGCCGGCCATGCATGGACAAACTTGAAAAATGTAGATGCCAAAACATGCGCGTAATACAGACTAGAAACAAGTCTTGCTCTTTTCCTTGCTTCTACCTCTCCATGGATCTCCAACTGCTTTCGGTACTCGGCGCCATATGCACAACACTTGCGGCTACGCTTTGCTGCTGCTTGCGCTGCTTCCTGTGTCTCATACTCTTTCTTCTTGCGGCCGTTGCGAGCTGCAACAGGCTGATCTTGACCTTCTGGGACGGCTGTTTTCTCTCCTGCGGTGTGTTCCTTCTCCTGTTCATGCTGCTTGTTTGTTCGCTTTCCTTTACCTTTCCTGGATTCATCCTTCGAAGCATCCTTCTCCTTGCCTTTGCGGACCTTTTCCTCTGCCGTTTCCTTCTCCTCCTTGCCTTTGCAAACCTTTTGGTTGTCCCGTCCATCCTTCCTTCCTTTGGATTTTGACTCCCGAGTACTATTCTCAGGCTCTTTTTTCCCGCCTTCTTGCTCCTTCTTTTCCTGCTTTTTGGCTCGACCCTTTGCCTTTGCCTTTGGCTCCTTGGGTTCTTTAGGCTTTCTACCTTTGCGCTTGGGTTTGCAATCTTCTCCACTGTCCTGTTCCTCCTCTTCCTTCTCCTCATCCTTCTTGTTCTTGTTTTTCTTTGCAGTCATTTTGTTTTGCTCGGTAGGATTGATGTGTGCTGTCCGCTTCATGACTTCAGCAGCTTTGGCCTGCAAGGGTTGCATACATACATGCACGCATGGCACACACGCGCGTATATTTACAGTATAATTAATATATGCATGGCATATTATAGCCAACTGCGATCCATGCTGTTCTCCAAAAACAACAAGCCTGCAGCTCTGAAATGCTGCCAGGACCGGGCTCAGCTGGACCGGCAGCAGCGCCCAGAGAAGGCATCCCCGCATCACTCGGGGGGGCTGGGTCAGGCAACTCACCCTCAGGCACGGGGTGGTCATGGTTGGGGTCATGCGCTTCAGGTTCCTTAAGAGCTTGAGGCTCGGATTCGGGGGTTTCCTCAGGCAACTTTGGAGCAAAGCCCGGTTCTCCACCATTCTCAAGTGGTCCTTTCTCAGCATCCTCGAGATGAATCACAATAGTGGTGGAAGAAACCTGCTGTTCATTTGGTCCCTGGAAGCTGGCATCATCCGGCTGGTCGGTTTCACCCAACACTAGAGTTTTTTTGCGTCAACAGGGAGTGATCCGGATCAACCTCAACCTCAATCCTTTTTTGTTCCGGTTGGGGAAAAGGCTTGATGTCCTCGGGCTGACTGAAGTGGTTTCCCCAAAGCTCATGCGTCGGCAGCGGCAAAGTCTCAGCAAAGTCCATACCTTGGGGACTAAATATATTTAGCATGAACATGCCAGCAAACAAGAGTTCATTTGCATTTGCATGTGCAAACAGGGGGCTTCCATTCTGAAGTATTTCATGCGTCTTCTTCTCCAAGTCCAAAAGCTCTTGTTGTTTTTCCATCAAAGACGTAAGATGCTGGTAGTCCTCTTCCAACTGCTTTAAGAGTTTCACTCGCAATTCCATCTCGTGCGGCTTGGGGATCTTCTCCGCGCTGGACGACGGAGGTTCATCACAACCTGACACATGTGAGCAGAAAAGTCTCCCCCACAATGGTCCCAGGGTCCATCAAGATTGCGCTGAAACTTCGAGTAAACAGCCGAGAAACCTTTCGGCGGAGGCGTTTGAAACGTCAAAGCACGCCGGGGGCCTGAGCCAATGGGAGGAGCATGGATGGATCTTTCAAGCTGCATGTTATATGTTTATACACACTAGAGCTTAAGTACTATAGCAAAAAAAAGACTGGCCTTCCATCGGAACAGTTGCAGGCGAAGCGATCCCCTCCACAGAAGCCGCTGGAGCTTCACCAGGCGGAGGTAAGACAACGGGTTCCTGCAAATTTCCCAGAACCCTAAGAAAACAAACAGTCTGTGTAACACGCAACCTCTAAGTGATTTTAAGTGGACCTGTCAAACATGAAAAGAGAGATGCCGGTCCTCTATTTCTATAGGTTCATCAACTTCAAGTTCCTCTTCTTCTCCGGTTTCAAAAGACTCCTCACCCATTTCTTCCCCGGAGTCTTCCCCTGCAGTCGTAGCAGCCCCCACGGTTGAACTTCTAGAAGACGAGGCTCCATGCTCGGATCCTGGGGCTGAGCTCACGTGGCCATATGGAAGGGAGGTGCATACATACGCACAAGAAAACATCGAAGCAAACCTAAGAGTTCCAGTTAGTGCGAGAATCGCTCTGGAAATGGAACCCCTGCAGCGTCAAACAGAACCTTCGCTCCCCTGGAACGAGGACAGCACCCGCGCCCTGCCCAGCGCTTCCAAGAACTAATGAGCTTGCGGATGTACCAGGCAGTCCGCTTGATGGTTCCACCTTAGCATTGTTCACAGCTAGGATATGGGGCTTCACAACATGTTCCTAGGCACCAGTGCTCACACGTAGATTCGCATGCACACTTAGCCCACCACTGGTGGCAGCTTTCGAGTTGACGGGCCGACACGAATCATACATTCGCCGGACTGCATCTCGTGTCACGTCGATGGAAGGCTTCAAACCTGGGATGGTCATGGATGGTTTTTCAGGAAAAAACCTGGAATGGTCATGGGCGGTCTTTCAAGATAAACTCAGCAAACCAACAAAAACAGAGTGCATCTATTCTCAAACAGCCTAGGTACCCAAGTGTTTCATCACTGGAGCTAGCACCGCAGCGTGAGCTTCAGCAGCCTCCTGTGAAACCCCCAACTCAGCGGTCATCAATTTGTATACAGCACTGCGTTGTACCAGGGCTTCGCTCTCCATCCACTCCCTCACAAGGGCCGTAAGATCCACTGGCATGGCGACAGTCTAAGCGAGAATCCAAAAAAAAGAAAGATGGAACTGCCAATATTGCATGCGTGTTGGTTTCACATGCACCTGTTGTTTTGAGCACAGCTTGGCTGAGGTAGACCATGCATGGGCATTGTACATTTGCATGAGGTAGCGCTTGTCCTCTCACACAGCAGTTCCAAAAACAAGCACGCCTTCAGTGGCCAGAATGCCAGGAGAGCACCGATACCATGGCCACTGTGGTAGGATGAAGAAGCATTCAAAGACCCATCTAGCCACATACGGGTTTGGCGTATGATTAACCGACCCCCATGAAGAATTAGGTTGGAGGCCATCGCTATTAGGTTGGAAGCCATCGCTAGTAGGTTGGAGGCCAATTCAGTCAGGTCAATTGATTTGTTCCGCTTTGTAGGTGCAGGCCCATGGCCTTTGTTCTCTGACCGCGTGCCTTGCCACTACCAAGGCTTGGAACTAGAGCCACCTGGGCGCACACCTGGCACACATCAAGGGACCTGGCGGGACTCCAGGGAACTTAGGCGATGGGAAGGGCCCTTGTGTATACAAGAAAGACATGAACAGTCTCTAATTTCAAAAAGTGCTCCAAACCATCAAAGTCATCAAAAAGCGCTCATTTCATTGGAAAACGCTCAATTGGAGGTAAAGTGCTACCAAAGCACTGTTCGCCAAAAAAAAAAGTAACCAATGGATCTCCAGGATGGTTCGTTGATCATTACAATCACCTTTGATGGATCCTAATGTGCACTTCTTTGTTCTGGTGTTACGAACTACATATCCACCATTATCCACCATTGATTTCCTACAGTGCAGGAATAAATTAATGGCTGGCATGCTCTGCTGTAGGGACTTTCATCAATGAAAATCAGGTGACCCTTCTTGGATTTGCCCCTCTCTGAGATTCACCGCCACAACAACCAACAATCATTACAATCATATTTTTTGCGGTCAATTCCCTACAACTTCAAGTCCAAAGGCCATGAAATTGTATTTTAAAAGTCATGACCAATCTTGAATTTTATAGTTCTAGTAAGTTGTGAACATTGTGAAATGATTTTGACTGATGCTGTTTCATATTATTTATCGCATCCAATCTAGAAATATGGCAGCCACTTCCATCTCGTTTTCCATATTCAAAAGAAGAGATGAAAGTGGCCATACATTCCACCAAGGTTGTTACTTTAAGGGATTTTATGGGTGATCGCTCATGAAGGAAGAAGAGACCATATGATATCGACACCTTCATGAACGAAACCATTTGTTGACAATAATTTCAGAGAATCCACACACAAAAACTGTTATACAATATAATACAAATTTTTGGGGGAATGAGTATTGCTAGCAAGTGAATTTCACCATTGGACACATTATTTTTGCTTGCAAAGGAAATGCCGCATGAAATCATTTAAACCTGATCAGACATGAGGTGTTTATAGGTGGGATAACATTAGCCATAAATATGATTAAATACAGTTTTTTTAATGCATGGTCTATTTTCTGTGTTGTATATGTTATTTATTTTTGCTGGTGATATTTATTCAAAGCCTAGATCTATAGATGTTACATGATGTTACTAAGTATTAAATCACGACCATTCGAGTTCACGAGCTACCTGGACCTGGCTATGTTGATTGTTACTTCTTGAAAGGGATTGGTGCATGGTGTTTGCCACCACGGAAGTCTTCCGTCCCCGGTCGGCTCCATGGGAATCTACCTTGACCCCGACCCGGTCGGCTCCACTCCCCGGCCACCGTTGACATGGGTCGATACATCGGCGCCGCTCCCGGTCGGCTCCGCGCGCGCGGGGCGCTCCCGACCGTGGACGGCACCGACAGTTGACGGCACAAGACTTCGGCTCGGTGCTGTGGTCCATCGCCGCGGCGGAGCTCGGTGCGGGGCGCCCAGCGGGTGGTCGGAGCGGGATGAAGCAACGGTGGAAGAAGCCTTTTTTGACTGTCCCAGTTGACTCATCCCGCTATAGGTCACCTCGGATGGAAAGATGGAGTGTTTTGGGGGCAAAGACTTCCAGCAGTTCCCGGAGGTTTTCAGTGGATCTTCAAACCACCAACAAGCCATGGTTTCACTCGGCGGCGCGGAGGGCATGGGAGGGCATGTCAGGGCACCCCTTGGTGCTGGTTTTGGGGGAGGTTTGAGGGGTGGTGGACAGATGAGGTTTGATATGAAGACATGCCTCCGCTCCTGTCTCATCTCCTGGATCCGATGGGGAGGTCGACACCTCGGACTGGGAGGTCGAGAGACTGTAAGTGTAGAGCTTAAGAAACAAGCAACAGGAGCAGCACTGTGCCATTGTGCCAGTTGCATCCACTTGCCCTTGATCGTCATGTTCTTTGGTTTTGGTGTGTGCCCCATGATATTTTCGGACCACGGGGGCATTGACAACACCCAGTAACCTCAGTTTTGCTTGGCCGGGTTGTAATTTGTAAAAGCCGCAGGGCCTCTTGTTACTCGTCATCTCCTCAACCATGCTCCCTCAGATTCTCCAGTTCGTGACATGTGTTTTTTGCTTGTCACCTTCTCCAAACGTCTCTTTGGCGCCCCTTGGACGGGTGTCCTGGCTGGACTACCCGACTACTGTACCCCTTTTGCACCAGAAGACCTTGCTCTTCCTGCAAAAAAAAGTGTTGCCTGCCTTGGGCTGGTTATACAGATGAAAAGGCGGAACTGATGCACAGAGGGAAGGACTGATCGCCAGAGGCTTGATGCTCCGGTTGGACGGCGCTGCCGGAGCACCGCGCCAGGCCGTCCGCAGCTTCCGGAGCTGCGGCCTTTCCTGAGCCGGGCCCATGCTTCGATGGTGACGGGCTTGACGGGCGAGGTGGGCACCGCGTGACGCGAAGAGCTGAGGTGGAGAGAAAGCATCCAAACCGGATGTCGCAGACTCATCCTCCATCTATGGAACGGTCTGGGTTAGTTCGTTTGGGACATATCATGAGCACGTCAGGGACATCCAACTGGTGAGTCCATCGTTTTCACCACAGAGTTCGACGGATGGAGCCTAACGGATCCCGGCCAAACCACTATGACGGATGGGCTTCTCGGTCTACGGTTTAGTCTTTGGGGCCACTGGTTACCTACGTTTAATAGAAGAAGGAGACTGGATCCCCTGGGGAAGATCAAGAGTCGCTGGGATCATTCATGTTGACCCTTTTAAGATGTCAGTGTGTTTGATTTGCTCTTTAGGTCATGTACATGTACATGATCTAGCTTTCATAGTCATCCCAAAGTTCAAAGTCACTTCGATACCAAAACCTGTGTCGAAACGGTTGCTGACTCTTGGGTCCTGTCGATGAGCTCATCGGTGCGGATGCTCTGACGATCAGTATCCCCTGGTAGACAATTGCTTATGGCCTTAAGTCCGAAGTCCGTTCAGCATTTACAAAGACCACCATGGACCATGTCAGGACTCTGAGTATTTAATACGCAATCAATTGTTTGACTTGCGACCTGTCGCACACCTGAGTAATTACATGGACCTTGAATGGAAAGTGCTTTTTCATCAAGATGGCCCGGATGGCCCCCCAAAACCTCAAAACAGACCTCAAGGACTCTTTAGTATCTTTAGTCACAGCTCTGGAGACGGGGGGCATTTGTTTTCCCTAAGGGTCTCGGAGCATCCTGAGAATGTCCTTTTCCCCCTATGTCGACCATTCGAAGTATGAACTCACCTCCGTTCGACCATCCGAAGGTCCGGAGCTACCTGGACCCTTAAGGCCTTAAGGGGTTCCTTTCTGAAACCATGGCAGACCGGTGAAGCTCGTGGCATCGGTACCCACGCCGGCCGCCGGACGGTGTGGGTCTTTTTCCACGGATCCGGTTGGAACCCTGAAGGAACTGGGATGAAGCAGTACCATTGGACCATTGGTTTCTTGCTTCAATCTGGCCCCCCCCGAACCAAAGGGGCTTTTGGGCCGCCCTCTTCCTCTTCCAAGTTTTTGGTTGGTCTGGGGAGTCTCTTCATTATTCCAAGATCTACAAACCCATGTAAAGGCCCTCGATCTTGTGACTAGTCATCCCGCTACATCCTCTAGTGATCTAGGGATGGATAGACCCACTTCCAAATTGGAAAGGATCTGCTTACAGCTGGGCTTGCGATATAGATCCCCTCCATTCAAGCACCACCCTAACTGGGTGGTGCTGGTGTGGCTCGTCCCATCCACTGAGTCGTTCTGGGCACCCCGACTTCCTCCATAGATAGCACCCTGTCCTCCATGGAACTGCTTCGAATTCAGAGCGTGTTTATTTTTGACGACCATCCGTCAAATATTAATTCTGCACGCAGGGTATACTTGCTAGTACCGTACAGCTTCCGTTTCAGCGTAACAAAACCCATGTAACACGTTTCTGGACGTTTTGGTTGAAACAAAGGCGCCCCCTCGGCCAGGGAGACTTACCAGTCACCAACCTTTGCAATGCTGTGTGGGCGGTCGCGAAGGCACTCCTCGGGGTCCATGGGATGTGCCGCAGAAACGGGCGGAAGACTGCAGGTTTTTGGACGGATGGAACCCCCGAAAGCCTCACTGAAGACAGCGGATGTTGGATTTAGAGCGAATGAGCTGATGTGGTTTCTTTCAGAGAACTGAGGTGATTGATGTGACACATGTGGGTCATGTGAGCATGTTTTCAGCTTGCTGCGGAGCAGCTGATGCTGCTTGACACTGAACCGGTCATGTTCGCTGGACACTTGGTGGGTCTAACATGGTCTATAGTACGTGGTCCCCAAATAGATAGAAATGGGTTCTAACCCTAGGCCTCCAAGTACCTTCTGAGAATGTGTTTGGGGTGGGTTTGGAGGGTCCAAATACCTTCTGAGGAGGTACTTGGAGGTTGCAGGGTAATACAATGTCTAATGATTTTCATGGTGATCTACTTTGCTATATATATCTATATGGGGGTCTATGTATAACTGGAGATCGGGGCTTCATCGATATGCAGAGGAATCTCAGCAAGGAGACCTGCCATAGGCAGTCGAGATGTGTCGAAGCTTGCCATCCGAATGGCGGAACGGCTCCATTTTGATGGGACAGTGGGGGCCTTTTGTCAAGACTTCAAATGATCCCAGCAAGAAGACCTCCCCTGTTCTGCACCCCTCTTGATCCCTTGGTTCCAATCTGCACATGGGATCCAATCTGCACCAACTCAATGCAGCCTGCACGTCTTTCCTTTGGCCAACCTGGCCTCCGCGGTTCGGCGCCTGTTTCCTGCCGGCGCGGCTTCAGGCAGACTTGCGGCCTAGCCACACGTGCCTTCGCCGGGTCTGACCGGGCGTTCTCTAAAGCCATCGGTAAGGCTGTAAGGCGCGTGACTTCGACCGATGATGGGTGATATAAAGCTGGCCACAGGCCCACAAGAGTTAACCAGTTAACCTCTTAGGACACATAGGTTTGGGTTGGGGCCTGTTAACCTGTTAGGACCTATAGGTTTCGGTTTGGGTTGGGTCTCTACCTTCTCAGCTTGGGATCGGTGGTAAGAGCCACCTTGAGGCCCAGAACTAGACCTAGACTTCAAGAACCTGACCCCAGACTTTGTTTAAAATGGTTTTTGTACCCTATGGATCCGAATCCACATACCATCACATACCCTCTGCATGAGAAGGTGATTTGTTCGACACTTTTGTATAGCCTTGGATCGGGTCGGGTCGTATTGAACCTGAGGTACGGTGACAGCGGATCCTGAGGGGAATTTTTGTGGATGATTCAGGTAAGTCGTCAGAGATTCCAAAATCAGGCACGCGGTTCCAGCCAGTGAGACAAATCTGAGCGAACAGCGGTGATGTTTTCTCTTTTTTTGGTGATGTTTTCCCTGGATTAGACCTGGGTAGGCTGGGACTGGTTGAGCAGAATTAGAGCTGTTCTTTTGGCTGCTCTAATTAGCTGGCACAACTCATGACATCGTGTTGTCAAGGTTTGAGGCTAGAGAATCTGTTACATGATTTAGGTTCGACTTTGGAGCTAATGGATGGTTTGGGGTTGCTCTTTTATGCTTTTTTCAATAGGGAGACCGACCTTCAATTCCCTTCCAACTGGGCGGTCTTCCTATTTTAAGACACCCCTTTTTGGTCGCTTTCATGTTCTTTGCTGTCCAGCCCGCAGGCCAATTCAACCACCGTTTCTCCCCGAAACCGGACCTTGAGGTTACTTTGAAAACACCTGCCCAGTCGCAATCTTTGGCCCAACAGGCTGCCTCTTTCTGGCCGGGGGCGTTCACGTGTGACTGCTTCACGGCTTTGAGCCGGCCGATTCCACGGGTTCCGGTCACGGGTACCCCTACATGACGGGTCCAACGATCCCACACGTTCATGAGGACTGCCCTCGCTCTCTTGGACTGCGCCGCCTGAAGCACAGACCGACCCTAGGCTCTTGGAGTTGGCCATCCGTGCGGTGTCCGAGGCGGCGTTGGTTGGTTCGTTGGGCTTGGAGACGACCCCCCGCTTGGGAACACCTCATGGACCGCATTGGATTCAGCCACTGGTTGGAGGAAAACCACCCCATTTGATCAGGGTCCAGGTGTTTTGCGGGAGGAGGGGATATACCATTGACGAAACTTTTGGATATGGTCTTGTGGCAGCTGAACTTCCCAGACCTGATGGAATCCCACCTTCTGATTTGTGCAAATCAATCTTTGTTTGGTTCCCTGTTGGATTGGAGGAGGGATGACTGGAACTATTCTGGTCTGATCAGATGATCGTTGCAGGATGCAGCATGTTGTGTCAGATATACAGTAAATTCAATACATTTCACAGTTGAACCCAACATGCCACAAATTTGGCCGCTGATGTTGAGGTCAACTTGGCCAATTGGGCAACTTTGGGGCTGAAGTTGGGCCCAACATGATGCAACTTTGGCCTGTGTGGGCTCAGAGTGACGCTAGACTCTAGACTCAACACAGCGAACATGGCCCGGAAAAGTATCGACTCCCAGTTTGCATCATGCTGGTCTCGATCTGGATCTAAGTTCGGACGTTTCGGCGCCACATCTTCGGAACATGGGGGTGAGGTATAGCCTATACCTTTACAACTTTCTCGGATCCAAACAAAGACCTCTCTTGGACGGTGCCAGCACCAGTGACATGCTGCAATGCTTTCTGCGCGCCATCAGCACCACCACCAGGCCGGTGGCTCCGGAGACACCGTGGCGACGCTCCGCCGGAATGCGCTGATTGTGGCTCCTGGGGTTTGAAAGGGTGGGGAAGGAAGTTGGAGTGAGGGGTAGGTGCCACGGAGCAGGGGCCCATAGGGGCCCTTAGCTACCTGCAAAAATTGTTTACCTTCTGAAGTATATGGAGCTTTAGGGTCCATCTAACAAGTCGATGGCCGGGCGAATGCATGGCTTGAAGGGGAAGACATGATGACGGTCGTTCCAGGACTCGTTTGGTTTGGACAGTGGTCCTTGGGCGATGTCCTTGGGCGACGCAGAGCTGACCACAGAGCGGTCAGGTTTGGCTGTTCAAGTCCGGTTTGTTGGTGTTTGGTGGTGCACTGAAGAGGACCACTTGCCACCAAATCGCCGGCACTGAAGAGGACCACTCAGGATGACCAGGGTGGAAGCGGCGAGACATTTCTGTGCAGCGGAATTCACTGACTTACTCAAAAACATGGTCGGCAGAGCTGCCAAGTGGTTTGAGGGGGCCCAATTTGGGTGGCAGAGTTGGATATCCATCCTGCAGTTCCGAGAATGTTCTACGCAGCAGATTGATAAACAACATAGTAAAGTATCTGTCCACCTTTGATTTGTTTGATATATAGGCGCCCCCCCCTTCACGAGTGACCTCAAATAGTCTTCTAAGCAGTGTTTTAGTATTGGTAGTATTGGCCTTACTGTAGAAGAAAGGAATCTATAGAAGAAAGGAATCTACTGAAAGGAATCCATATTACAAGTCAAGAAAAGAATCCATCACCTGAGCAGGACTCATTAAGGACTCATGGAGGATCAAAGGACCCATAGAAAATTACTATTGTGATATGTTTTTGCCAGCAAGAATCTTTAGCATTATTTAGGGTAAACTATACTTAGGGTATGGTGGCTTCCAGGAGGGTACTCTTTTCAGACTAATTGTGGTCAATTGTTGGTGGGTTTAGAATAAGGAGTTTATACAGTACATAATTTTGATCAGAAGGTTTTTTGTGGTTTGGTGAGTCCAAGTGATAAAATTGAGGGGGAAGGATGCAAGAAAGAATCCAAAGAAGGAATACAACAAAGAATTGAAAGGCACAAATCACTCACCCCTGTCATGCGAAAAGCCAACTGTCCCAGTTTTTCTCTACAAACGCGAGGCCATTGCCCGTGTGTGCACTCTGCACCCGGTGTCCTTTCGCTGCGCGGCCTTTGTGCAGCTCGTCTATGAGGACACACCGATGCCTTCCGGATTCGGGTGCAGGGTCGTGTCCGAGCCATGCAGGATGTGCTCCGGCACTTCGACGATGCAACGAGCGAGAGTGCGATCTCCATCGATGCAGAGCATTTGGTGCCCCGGGGGCTGGAGAGAACACGTGGAGATGGAGAGATGGGGTGAACAGCATGGCCCAAAATGGCCACGACTCGATCCTTCAATCGACTCGAAGCTCACACCCTCCAAAGCCCTTCCCTCTTTAAGATGGATGTGTCGGACACTTCTTATGTAGCCTTGGAGTAATAGGCTTTTGCATATTATCGGAAAGGAAGTACTTCAGAGATGGCCTCCTTCGACTGGGTGACCGAAGGCAGGTACAGTGAAGCTTAACATGATCCGCTTGAGTCACGTACACCTCCCAAATGGATAGGGAACTTGTCATGATCCACTCACGTTTTTCGTATCTTCAAAATGTGGAACATCTGAGTCCAGTTCTGAAGATGACAATGTCAATGGCCACCGTTTGCCATCCGATCGATCCAAGATACAGGGGAGTCCTATAGTGGAGGAGGAGAAGTCGGAGTTGGTCTCCCATGAGATGTTTTACTATCTACCGGTCCAGAACTGCCTGGCTCAGCTATATGATTTTCGCACTCTTGGAGAACTGTAGCATACTGTAGCGAATCAAGTATGGAAAGATTAGCATCGAACATACTCGCTGCTTGTGGAGGCATTTCAATCATTGATGCCAGCCCATTTTTACCAGCAGATTGGTCTTTGGTTCGTTTGGGTCCCCGAAAGAATGCACGGAAGATTCGGAGCATCTACCTTTGGGCAGTGGTTTCAAACATGTTTATACATATAACGTTATATATAACATGATATAACGTTCAACCTTGATTTGGCATGATTGAACCCATTCTTCGTTTTGGTTGGATCTCAACACACGATCCCGGCGAAGAACCCTTTGGGGCTGAAGAACCTTCGCGCTTTGAGCGCGAGGCATGGCTGCGGCTGGGCCTCGTCTACTTGCCGAGCTTCCGCTCCCAGCTGAAGAGGCCTGGAAGGAGCCACACCTCCTGCGGATTTGGAGCGCGGCAGTGAAGGTCATTCCAAATAAGCGCGCGGAAAAACCATGGCGGTCCACCGCGGTCCACCGCGGCGCGGCATGTTGCAAAAGCGCATGGAATGAATGCGCATGACTGCGGTTGAGTTTTGGAAGTTTCCAATTTGGAGCGGTTTGTGCCAAAAACAACTCCCTCAAAAAAGCATGGTGAGCCGAAGCCCTCAGAAAGAGTGGTCTTGCAAATGGCCGTTCCACGAAACCGTGGTTGTTTCAGGGAATTTATCCTTGGAGTTCCGTTTTGGTCGGCTCTGTTTTTTCAGAGCTGGGACAGATCGATGTGAAGAGTTCGTTCGATATCACTTGATGGATCTTGTCACGCGAGCCTTGGAACCCAGGGTCCTTGCATATCAATGCATATCATCTGTCTATATCTATATATTATATAGGGTACTCCCCCCAAGACCCACAGGTTCAACCCTACATATAGATACACACGATACAAATATATATATATATATATATGTGTTATATAACTAAAACATATAATATATATTATACAGAGATACAGAGTTATACTTGGGTTTGGCTTGCTCCGACGTCCAATCTTCCCGAAGAAGAGCAGCAAGAAGGCATGAAGTATTCAGTCGCTGCCGGCGAAGAATTGATGAAGTCAGTCACGGACTGGAACATTCAGTTGGAAGAATTTCGGAAATATGAAGGAAATGAAGAGTTTGGAATCGTTGAAATGATGAAGCTAGGCATGGGCTTATCTGTCTCCATTCTCGAGAACCAGGGCGCAAGCCTGAGGAATCCCAGGTCGGGGCATAGCCACGAGGATATAGATCAAATCTTCGGCTATCTGGCAGGGTAAGCAGGGTAAGAATGTGCAGACGCCTGATGGGTTTGTATCTATCGTCAAGCGCTTCGCTGATTCAGCGGATCGCCCCCGTGAAAGTGATCGCGCCGTGTGATCATGCTAGATCAACATCGAGATTGGCTCTTCGCTGTCTAAGTCGGCAAATTGCTCATGTTCTGTCACCCCACTTTCCGCACTTGCCTCAATCTTGAAGTCCGACCATGATAGTTTTGAGTTTGGGGCCCAACATCCAATGCGCACTTGGTGTTCATTCGAACAGGGTTAAAGGAAGAACACGACTGGAACACCACAGCAACTTCATGCTCCCAAGTGGCCTGTGGCCTATTTTGTAGTGGGAATATGAACGGAGTCTCTAATGGTGTTAGTATTAGTGCCGACATATATGCTTCAATTTGTCCGTTTTGGCCTGATAACGCATGTTTGTATAATGTGTGGGATACTCTTGCGCCGAATGGATTTCGTTGCACAGTCCCGGGCTCTCAATCTAGCGTGGGGACGGTTCGTGAAAGAGCGTAAAACTGGCATTTTTTACACCGTATTCAGCTCTCGCTGTCGCTTCAGCTTGCAAACGCATTCACACAAATGTTTCGTGCACTTCTTGCGGTTCATAAAATGGCCAGAGGCAGTTTGCATCACTTTGCGGCAATTGACCATGTGGGACCGGGATGGGTCGCAAACTTTGTTGTAGTTGCGTTTTAAGCCGTGTATGGTAGGTGTTGCGTTCAATCTTCAGGTTGGTGTAGAATACGTAGATATCCCAACTCTGTCGCCAACGCGTGCGTTCGTGGAACCGACCGGACATGCGACAACACACTGCAGAGGCATGGGGGTCAAGAAGTCGATTGCTTCGCAACCACCGGTGAGTCACCAGGCCGCCGCGCAGCTTCCCGGAGCACTTGAACCAATACCGCCGCATCGGGGCCACCGTGCCGGGAAACTCAGATCTTTTTTGTGAAAAACACGCGGTTTGGATGGGGTTTGGATGAGGGGCGGATGTGTTGGAATGGTTTGGGGGTTAGGGTTGGAATGGGTGGTGGTGTCAGAGATGTTGAATGATCAACCATGATCAACGTTCACTTGTGATTCAATCGTATTGGAACCCACGACCCAGCGATTCATATTGTCCGTTCATGAGTTGAAGCCACCAACCAGACATAACCAGACAATGACGGGTGTGGAGCTCAGACTCCACACGCTCTTGCAGTGGGTGACATGAGGAGAGCTCAGGAGATGTTTTTGAGTCAACACACACTGTTTTCTTAGCGCACCCAGACGCTCCAAACAGCCCTTGGTCCCTCAAACCCTACTGTAGGAATTTGAGACCCCAGACCCCTCCATATGAGGGTCTCCCCCCTCCATATGAGGGTCCATGAGGGTCTGGGTACTTTTGGAAAGTCAGGGCTGTACTTTCCACCAATTCCACCGAACATTGACCCCCAGCCGCAACCATTGTTCCTTTTGAATCCTTGCTTTTGATGTTCCACGTGCTCCAAATTCCATTCGGTCTATTGGTTTGTGTTTTTACATCCACTCCTGATGAGAACACTTCTCGATGACCAGGACGGGGGGGCGACTGAAAGTCGGAGGACGACCGGGCCACCGGTAGCAACAAATTCACTGAACAAAAAGCAAGCTCTAAGGACTTAAATTGATGAATTAAGCAAGCTCTGAGCCGAAGAATTCTGGGTGGTTTCTTTTGGTTCCAGATTTGCAATCTATGAATCGATCTCGGCACGCCGGTTTTGCTTCCAAGTGCAACCCGAATTACCTGAGCCCACTGGTCACTTGCTGGACTTGAAAAGAGCAAAGTGCAGCCAATTAAACATATCAAAAACTCTTCAGCCACTTGAGCAACTTGTCAAGTGTTCAACATGAATGAATAAAATCGGAACGTTACAACTAACATACAGTATTCAATTTATAGGTATATCATGTCTCACAATTTCTCACAATATAGAAAGGCAATATTCCCATATTCATAGAACGTCTATGTTATAATATATCAATGCTTATTTCAACACAATTCTAATTGTATGTTTTCGTTGCACCAACGGCCCACGGTCTGGACCGGCACGGGTCTCCCATGGTGGCGGTGAGTCTCATGGCGCAGAACTCACAGGCACGGCAGGGCACGGGAGGTTCGGAGCTTGGGGTCACACGACTGGAGCGAACCGTGGAGCTATAGAGCTTGAAAGAACTGGAAAAGGAGCACCTGGGCGAACCGACGTCACGTGCGAAGATGGAGAGGACCACATGGATGACCAGACACACTGCGCGGAACGCGGAACATGGTCCACGACCGGTGCCGGACCCAATGACGTCCCGGTTCGACCGGTCGTTGTGTGGTGAGTCGATCGAGTCGCTACGTCCTCAATCCGAGTTCCCAGGGCCTTGACCGAGGGCCGTGTGACCGGTCCAGACTGGTTGGTGTCAGATTCCCGATTTGGAGACCCTCGGTGTCCAGACTGAGTTCCAGATCAACCGCAGAACCCCGTGTGTCTTTTGTGTCCTATTGTTGATTGATCATGATTGATCTATATATTTCATATTTTTCACATTATTGTTGAAGTGGCCCTTTTTTTTTTGTTTGTTGCTTGTACAAATTGTTCGTTCTTGTTCAGGTTGACCAAGCCAACATGTGGGGAACTTCAACAGAAGCCATCTCATGTTGGAGGAAACGGTGAATCTCGCTAAGACCCATTAAGATCCGATACTTTAAGTATGATCATATCCACCCACCCGGGTGCCTGATGATTCACTTCGATGTTTCTTCCGAAACCCCGCTGGCTGGAAGGGCAACACGGTAAAGCCTGGAAGGTTGGTGAAATGCCAGCCGCCTGTTTGGTCAAACTGGTACTTCACCGTTGCTGGTTCAGTTTGGTCAATCAAGAAGGGTCGACCTTGAAGTTGTCCTTTTCGACGGAATGATGATGGTCTCACTTCCATGTTGGTTAGTGGGACGGAAAGCGGTTATGTTTGCAAAGAACTAGGTATCCTATGTTGCTGGATTCCCTCAACAGCCACTTACTCCTTCAAAAACATTGAACACAAAATGAACAGTCCTTCACACGAGTAGGACTCAGTGATTCATCGCTCACCCATCGGGTATCTCAGATCTAAGTAAGTCTCGGTGCTGCACTTGGGGAGCTTCACAACAAGGCTCCACATCGCAGCTGATGGTTCAAAGGAGGTTTTCGACTTGGACCTGAATGTTCACCATGTCAGCTCCAAGTTCGGCCGGGTTGTATATGCATTGGGCCGAAGGTGTCACTTGGACCACAGGTCACTTGGCCTGAATTGTCACAATTTCAATATCATCTACAACAATTGGCATCTGCAGCATCATATGCAGCATCGCTCCAGGGTCTAAGCTCCAACTGGTTGCCATGTTCACCAACTGTCCAGAGGCTCCAGGAACTTCAAGTTTTCTTCAATCCTCACTGGATTGATCAGTTTGAACCTTGTGTATCTCACATTTCGCTCGGGCTCACCAGATCCCCAGAAGGTGGTTACCAGAAGGTGGTTACCCCCCTGGAACCCACCCCAACCACCTTCTCAGGAGGTAGTTGGAGCCCTAGGGTTTATTTGTATGCATTCATGCATGTGTGCATGGGCTTCCACACACGACAAAGTACATGTGTGGTTGCTCAGTTCACCTTTATAATTTTATGAATTACTGTAAACATTTAGCTGGTTCTACAGACCCTGCTGTTGTACATCTAATGAGCTCCTCACCATTCCCGCTAAAGATGCAATCTTCATTGTCCTAATTGTCATGTGATGTGCCCTTCCTTTAAAAACACTACATGGCTTTTGTATTGCAACTTTAATTGTGCATGTCAAATCTCTGATCATCTTAACTTTGTCTACTATTGTCTATCAAAGGGTTCCCTTCAAAGCGACCTTTTGAGATCTCAGAATGAGGTCATCTAGAGCCTTAAGAGGCCACTTAGAGACTCCAAAGAGGTTACTTTGAAGGTCCTGGAATACTCATATAATCATCAAAACAACTTTAACATCTCAATCCCTTGTTTGCTTCATCATTCTGTTGTAGAATGCAATGTTGGTCCTGTTGCAGTTTAGGACTATTTTGTAAAGTGGGCTCGGAAGCCAGCAGCCTCACCTGAAACTTCAACAGCGCCAGCCACCATCAACAGTCAGCTCATTCGCTCCATTGCCTGCATCCTTCATTGTCGAATGACCTACAGTGTTGCAAACCCTGACACGGGTATGGGCAAAGTAATTTAACTCCATCTTTCGACCACCACCAACTGCTAATGATGATTAATGATGTATTATTTAAAACAAGTCAAGCCTATACCACTTGCACTTATTTTTGTTTGCTTATTTAGAACTACTCTGTCATCAGTAGTTTATCTAATGTAATCTACACCGTTCCTCATATATGTGTTTATATATATAACATGTGTTTTTGATTTCTAGACCAGGCATAGTCTCGAGATCATGGTTTATGCCGAATGCATACTACAGGTAGAGTGCAGACGAAGTTAATTGTGCTCCCACGGAGCCCCCACCCCAAAAGAAAAGGTAACAATAAACAATCCCTAGGGATCCAAGTACCTCCTCAAAAGGTACTCGGACCCTCCTGGCACCCACCCCGAACATCTTCTCAGAGGGTACTTGGATCCTTAGGGAATAAACCATAATAATACAACACATGATACGAGCAAAAGCAGAAGGAGCCTCATCAGCGGTTCCATGTCGGGGTGCGATCCATAGAGGTTTTTGCGGGTGCCCCTGTCACATCCACTCACTTAGTGTACAAACAAAACAATCCTTTTGTGACTCCTGGTGCAGTTCTACTTTTACTTCAACATGTTCTCAACATGTTCAACAAAAACATGTTAAAACAAGTTGTCCAGTTCTACTTTCACTTCAACATCTTCGTGGAACATCGTTTTTTTGCCACTGAAACCGTGTCTCCTATCTCCAGGCCTTCGAGTCTAGGAGCCTCCGACGCGCGGGGAGGTGGTCCCTGAATTGGTACGATGTGTGCACGCCAACTGGTGTGGATGATCTCCAATCTATTAGCAACATTTAGCAACCGGGGATGGCCTCCAACCGACTAGCAAAAGGAACCTAGTAGCGATGGCTTCCAACCTACTAGCGATGGCCTCGAACCTAATCTGATCTATCCATGCGTATTCGTTGAGACCGGGTGCCATTATAACAGGTAACATACCTGGTAAAACGCTACCGGGTGTCATTATAACAGGTAACATACCTGGTAAAACGCTGGGGTGTTGATATCCAAGGAACAGTCGGGAGGTTCAATCATGTGTGTTGTCCTTTCCCCATGGATCAATATACGGGGATTTTGCCCCAAGCTGCCGTGAAAGGGACCAATTTTTTGCTGCAGCGAACCGGCGGCCGCTCTAGAAGTTGCTCCGTTTCTGGAAGTTTTCCTGGACATCCCTGAAATCCACCCCCAAGATGTTGACAAAAGAACACGGTGGGTCCAAACCCCAGGGTCCATGGTTTCGGTGCACCTCCCTGCCAACCCAAATCTGTTCAGCCATAACTCAAGGACTCCTTGGACCCATCCATAGTAGGGGTGACCCTCCATCTTGTTAAGGTCTAGATTCCTAGGGGCGGCGTCAACCAGGGTGCCTGGGTGCAAGGATTCACAGCCGCTCCAAGTAGTCTCATCCCCGAAAACCTTCTGAGGTGCATCCAGATGCGCCGAAATAAGCGTGGACCCGCACGTAGTCCCTCGACCTGTTCGACAGCACATTTTTTAAGGGGGTTTGCAGGTTTAGGGATCTGCAGAAGAGGATGTTCTATTTACCTGAACAAACATGGATGTTCAGTTTCTAGCAGGACCCACGAGAGGTGGTAAATGGACACCCCTTTATTCACCGCTGTTTTCAGGGGCTACAAAGACACCCCGAACATCGGGGCCCTGGT